TACAGATCAAAATGTAACACTTGTATTGTAAATAAAATGTCTTTGYTTGGATATTATTGAAGATTGGTGTTAGATACACTTTGATTGTTCTAGAGAGTGGTAAAGGCAGCTTTAAATCTGCCTTAAAAAACCGGCTCAACTTGGAAAAGTCTCCTTCACGGTTACCTGCGCCATCTTGAAAGGTAGCCATGCCTTAACATGGAAGCGAGACAACCGTTGAGCGTGCAATGATAGAAACCTTCTTTCACACCTACACACAATTATTCACAGGTATCTATCATTGCACGCTCAACGGTTGTCTCGCTTCGATGTTAAGGCACGGCTACCTTTCAAGATGGTGCAGGTATCCATGAAGGAGACTATTTGAGGCTGCAAAAAAAAGATATTGTAAATCAGCTCCTGAGTAATGGACAAATGTAGGAAAAAAAGGGTCAGGTCGCAGCGCCAAAGAACATTGCTGGTAGTTGGTTGGCTCAACACAGTGTGACTCTAAAGAACAAGACATAAACAATAGAGCCTATTGTTCTAGTCAGCTAAACACAATGACTTATTTAGAGCTGCGAGACCTCTTGAAAAAAAGGTGGGAACTAGCGGTAAACTAGTTCCCTCTATACTCCAATGAACGATTAACATCCAAAATGTCAGTAAATTATTCCACCTACTTTATGGTGTTAAATTTATCTTTTTACAAAACTGTGCCCAAATAGAAATACAATAATAATTTATTTGCAAATGAATATACCGTTACGGTTTTCTAGAAAGTTTTTACATAAGTTACGTTGTGTTTCTGATGGGATCCCTGTGTTTTCAAAGCTCTACACCTTGTAAAATAAGTTTTTTTTATCGAAAGAAGCCAAATAAATTTATATGTTTTTTTGAAATTTGATTTGATATGCTATTTTTGTAAATATACTTGTGCAACGTAATGTAACCGTCAGTAAAAAATTGTTTCCGGTTGACTGTGCTTCTATCTTCTGATTGGTCAGCTATTTTCTTCCGGTAAAATTTGAACAAGCAAGCAGGAATCTGATTGGCTAAAAGACTCGTTGAATGTCGTTGACAATTTTTTTATTGCGTGTTGTGATTGGTTGATTGTCCAAACGCAGATTGTTTGAATGAGTTTTCCCAACTGTCGGTGTGAAATAGAAGCTTTGATCGAGATCGTCGTCGTCCACGTTGAATGGTTTCACGAAGAATCTAGCAACGATCTACAGAGAAAATTGAATCTTTTTGCTTTAAAACTCTCTAGTACTTCAACATTGACAATTCTTGTTGCTTTACCAAGCAAATTTCTGTTTACATCGCAAGAATTTGTCCACTGCTCATCACAAAATTTTAGTTCGGAACGACCACAAGCTTAATTTGAGTCCYTCCAAGTTTCCAAATCAGCATGTCTAAAGCTTTAGCAAGAGAAAGATACGGTGTTGGAAGATACCGAACTGATCGTCCCCTGACATCGGTTGATAAGGGTCCAAAAGAACTTGGACAAATCATTGAAGATACCCGATCGGGCAAGCGATACCTTCGTGGAAGGTTTCTCGGCAAGGTGAGAGAATCGTGCACCGTTTAGAGAATATTTAAGCTTATTACCCTGCACATCTTCTACTTATATGATTCTCTAAAATAACTTTCTTGTCTCCATCAGGGTGGATTTGCAAAATGCTATGAATTGAAAGATATGAGCACTGGGGATATTTTTGCTGGAAAGATAGTCTCGAAGTCGTTATTAACTAAACCTCACCAAAAGGAAAAGGTACGATTCGATATTCTGTTCGTTCTTTAATGATATTAGTATACAATACATATTCCTTTAATATAATTTGCGTGTTTTTAGATGTGCATGGAGATAGACATCCACAAACGCCTCAACCACCGTCATGTCGTGAAATTCCACCATCACTTTGAGGATAAAGATTATCTCTACATTATTTTAGAACTTTGCCCTCGACGGGTAAGTATTTTGTATTTATAGAACTCTAAACTTACTAGTATCATAGAATTGAGCCCATTTAGTTAAATTCATAAAGAATTTATTCAAGTAAACGCTGCATAACAGTGCTAAATAACGGTACAATAGCGACCGTTTTGAATCAGTTGGGGATTGTTCTGCTCTTGGTTTTTAAAAGGTTTAAAGCCTTAAACCTCAGCTTCTTCAAATGTGGATTCTTTGACGGGTTTTTAGCTCGATAACCTTTCCCGCCAGTGTAAATTTTCGACGTATAAAATTTTATAAGTTACTTATAACTTCCTAAATGACATACAAGACCATCTTGATTCTCTTGATTCCAAAGCCGTTGTGATTGAACGCTGCCACATAACAACAAAATTAAATACATTGTGCAAACACTAAAATAGAATACAAATTAACAAGCTTGAAACTTTGTAGGGGTTGTTTCATGGTTTTATTAATCTTTGTGTATAATTTTCTATTGGAATTTCCTTGAAAAGCTGCTTGAKATCGGTGTTATGAAGGGGAACCTCTAGGACACACCTGTTGCAAGCGGTGAACAAAGATGATCAACTTAAATATTCATAATAAAAAATCTACCATTACTAYTTAGCACATTTCAGGAATCTGCCCATCAAAAAGAGGAAACTTTCGCAGCCTATTTATCTCATCCCTACATCAAAATTATTTGTTGAACATTGAAATAGGATATTACAAATTTTGGAACAGATTAAAAATTWGTCTTTTTCTTCTATACACAAAGTATCTCACAGCTGTTTTGACAAAAATCTTATTTATTCATTAAATAAAGAATGGACCAAAGTACTAAAAGAGGGATATGGTTATTCTAATTATTATTTTTATACAAAGACCATAAGATCCCTGTAGCTATGTAATTGCTTAAAGTATTTGGCTTGTAAACATTTTTAGATTTGAATTACACACACATGTATGAAACCAAAACAAAACAAAATGTTTAAATAAGCTGTTCTTATTCTTCTCAAAGCAATAAGATTCAATCATATGACAGACTTAAAGGAAAACAAGATATGAATTCGATGTAGTAATTATATACCAATGTGAATCAAAGATTGAGTTAGCAAACTAACCCTTTTGCTTTTATGATGACTAAAATATTTCTTAAATAATTTCAAGCTGTTGAACTATGAAATACTTTATAAATTCCTCATTTATAGGAATAAACACAAATACAAAATCAATGAATTCTYCATAGTTTAAGCTAGGTCTCTAACAACATGAACAAACACTATTCTCAAGGTGTGGGTGAGGATTTCWTATGTTAATTTTAATTTTAAATGATTAAAGAATGCATTGTTTTTGGATGTGTATGCATTAAACATTAGCCAGGTGTTTATGTGATTTACTTTGATTTTGAAATTTACAGCAGGTTTTGKACTTTGTGAATGGCTTTATCATACACTATAAATTATAATTTCTCGTTTTCTAAAATTTCTCACATAWWARKYMAWWWTTTWMCMMMAWTTACAGAGCKCTAGYGTTCTGACCAACATCTGTATCTTGCTGTTTCAATTTAAGGGTTTTTTGGTTTGTCAGCTAGGTGGCAGTTTTTGCCCAATGTCATGGGTAATTGGGTCTTTACTAGTACATAAGCTTTTAAAGTTTCAAGTTACAGTGATTAATTTATTTTCTAATGACCATTCTACTAAAAAAATTGTGAGACCAACCATGTTTGAGATATTATTTGGAACACAAAGCAGAGCTCTCAGAGCAGTTCAACATTCTGATGTTCAACTACTATCTATAGACGTGATTCATATTATAAACATTTTAATTCTGGTSTAATGCTCACTGCAAACTCCATGAGTCTAAAGGAACTGTTTTGGATACAATTTACTTAAAACTTGGCCTGTGTCAATAAGGAATGCCTGCTCTCAGGCTGCTTAAAATGAATTAATAKAATTTTTTAGAAAAATTAATTTACYCTATTGTTGTCTAGTCRCTTATGGAGATGCACAAAAGAAGAGGTGCCTTAACAGAACCAGAAGTCCGCTACCTCATGAAGCAAATTATCGAAGGCTGTCAATATCTTCACAATAATAAAATCATCCATCGTGACTTAAAACTTGGAAATCTTTTCTTAAATGATGACATGGAAATCAAGCTAGGAGATTTTGGTTTGGCAACAACTGTTAATGAAGGAGAGAGAAAGAAGTAAGTTTCTCAGATGGTAACAACACTCTGATTGGCTGAGTAGCTTTGTTCTTGACCAATCAGAATGAATGTACTATCCTAATTTTTTTTGTTATGATTGGTCTCAGCCAATCAGGAAGCATATGCCATCCAATTTTTTTTATGATCATGAGTCACAGCCAATCAGAATGCATGTACTATCCAGAACATTTTATGAGTGTCAGCCAATCAGACTGCATGTACTATCCAGAACATTTTATGCGTGTCAGCCAATCAGAGTGCATGTACTATCCAGAACATTTTATGAGTCAGACAGTTGAAGAAAGATGTATTTTCATACTTACAAATTATTTTTACTTTAGAACCTTGTGTGGAACACCAAACTACATTGCTCCTGAAGTATTAAACAAGAGAGGGCATAGTTATGAAGTTGACGTCTGGTCTCTAGGTTGTATACTGTAAGTTTCAATTATATTCTGAAAACAGAAAAAGCAAAGTATTAAATTGAATTTTTTACATGTTTTAGATACACATTATTGGTTGGTAAACCGCCTTTTGAAACACAGTCACTTAAAGAGACTTATGGTAGAATTAAGAGAAATGAATATTACATCCCATCCAAAGTCCAACACCCAGCTCAGCTGCTCATTATCAAACTACTCAGGCCAGAYCCTTCAACTCGTCCTAYGATGGCAGAAATCCTTGAGGATGAATTCTTTCATGGTTACACACCCTCTCGTCTTCCAGTGAGCTGTTTGACCATGCCTCCTAGGTTTGCATCTTCTTCAAATATTAGCATCGCTGCTGCAAGGAAGCCATTGCTTGAGCTGAACAGCAAAGACACGGCAACAACAGCCAACCCGAACAARAAGGCTGATCCTTTCTCTAAGAGAAAGTCGCTAGGCATCAGAGTTGTTGGTACAGAAACTACCATGATTACACCAAGTGAAGCTATTGCAGAAGAAGTGAACAARGAAGAAGAAAAGGGTAGGCTATGATCAGAGTTTGGTGTACATGTAATGAATTTGACATTATTTGTTTAGACWACAATTAAACGTTTCCTGTCTTGGTTAATCTTGCAGAGGCGCCCAAAGACTACCACCTTGGCGGTTTACTGAAACAGTTGACATCCTTCTTGGCCAATTGTAAACATAGCGAACTTCCCAATAAAAATCACGGTACGACTCTGTCTTTAACTAAAGACTTTTATCATGTTTGACTATTTCCCATTTTATCCAATTAATCCCATTTTTTCATTTTCACTCCCCTAAGATTTAATAATTCCCTACAATTAAAATGTGTTTTTCATGTTCTCAGACAATGCCGAAGATCCTGCTAGTACCCCAGTTTATTGGGTCAGTAAATGGCTGGACTATTCTGACAAGTATGGTCTTGGATATGCACTGTGTGATAATAGCGTTGGGATTCTTTTCAATGACCAGACAAGACTTATCCTATGTGAAGATGAAGAGTAAGTGTGCTGAAA